AAGAAGTTGAATCTCCTGTCAAGAGGAAGAAGGAGGCTTATGTAGAGATGAGGCATGAAGGCTCAGTTAGGGTGCTTGAGAGTTACAAGTTAGCCAGGAAGGACCTAAAGAGAGAGCCAAGAAGAGCCAGGAGGGGACATGAGAAGTCTTTAGCAGGTGGGATCAAGGAAAACCCTAAAGCTTTCTATAGGTATGTCAGGAATAAAAAAATGACTAGAGCAAGATTAGGGCCAGTCAAGGACAGTAGTGGGAAGAGTCCGAAGAGATAGGAGAGGCACTAAATGAATATTTTTCGTCAGTATTCACACAGGAAAAAGACAATGTTGTCGAGGAGAATACTGAGATACAGGCTATTAGACTAGATGGGATTGAGGTTCATAAGGAGGAGGGGTTAGCAATTCTGGAAGATGTGAAAATAGATAAGGTCCCCTGGGCCAGATGGGATTTATCCTAGGATTCTCTGGGAAGCTAGAGAGGAGATTGCAGAGCCTTTGGCTTTGATCTTTATGTCGTCATTGTCTACAGGAATAGTGCCAGAAGACTAGAGACTAGCAAATGTTGTCCCCTTGTTCAAGAAGGGGAGTAGAGACAACCCTGGTAATTATAGACCAGTGAGCCTTACTTCGGTTGTGAGTAAAGTATTGGAAAGGATTATAAGAGATAGGATTTATAATCATCTAGAAAGGAATAATTTGATTAGGGATAGTCAACACGGTTTTGTGAAGGGTAGGTCGTGCCTCACAAACCTTATTGAGTTCTTTGAGAAGGTGACCAAACAGGTGGATGAGGGTAAAGCGGTTGATGTGGTGTATATGGATTTCAGTAAAGCGTTTGAAAAGGTTCCCCATGGTAGGCTATTGTAGAAAATACAGAGGCATGGGATTGAGGGTGATTTAGCGGTTTGGATCAGAAATTGGCTAGCTGTAAGAAGACAGAGGGTGGTGGTTGATGGGAAATGTTCATCCTGGAGTTCAGTTACTAGTGGTGTACCTCAAGGATCTGTTCTGGGGCCACTGCTGTTTGTCATTTTTATAAATGACCTGGATGAGGGCGTAGAAGGATGGGTTAGTAAATTTGCGGATAACACCAAAGTCGGTGGAGTTGTGGATAGTGCGGAAGGATGTTGCAGGTTACAGAAGGACATAGATAAGCTGCAGAGCTGGCTGAGAGGTGGCAAATGGAGTTTAATGTGGAAAAGTGTGAGGTGATTCACTTTGGAAGGAGTAACAGGAATACAGAGTACTGGGCTAATGGCAAGATTCTTGGTAGTGTGGATGAGCAGAGAGATCTCGGTGCCCATGTGCATAGATCACTGAAAGTTGCCGCCCAGGTTGATAGCGTTGTTAAGAAGGCGTACAGTGTGTTAGGTTTTATTGGTAGAGGGATTGAGTTTCGGAGCCATGAGGTCATCTTGCAGCTGTACAAAACTCTGGTGCGGCCGCACTTGGAGTATTGTGTACAGTTCTGGTCACCGCATTATAGGAAGGATGTGGAAGCATTGGAAAGAGTGCAGAGGAGATTTACCAGGATGTTGCCTGGTATGGAGGGAAGGTCTTATGAGGAAAGGCTGAGGGACTTGAGGATGTTTTCGTTAGAGAGAAGGTTAAGAGGTAACTTAATAGAGACATACAAGATGATCAGAGGATTAGATAGGGTGGACAGTGGGAGCCTTTTTCCTCGGATGGTGATGGCTAGCATGAGGGGACATAGCTTTAAATTGAGGGGTGATAGATATAGGACAGATGTCAGAGGTAGGTTCTTTACTCGGAGAGTGGTAAGGGCGTGGAATGCCCTGCCTGCAAAAGTAGTAGACTCGCCAACTTTAAGGGCATTTAATTGGTCATTGGATAAACATATGGATGATAATGGAATAGTGTAGGTTAGATGGGCTTCAGATTGATTTCACAGGTCGGTGCAACATCGAGGCCCAAAGGGCCTGTACTGCATTGTAATGTTCTATGTGTATGGATTGAGCTACCAGAAGTCATTGTGGAGCCTGGTACAATTACAACATTTAAAAGGCATCTGGATGGGTATATGAATAATAGGGATTTAGAGGGATATGCTGGCAAAGGGGACGAGATTATTTTAAGATATTTGGCCGGCATGGACGAGTTGGACCGAACGGTCTGTTTCTGTGCTGTACATCTCTATACTCTATATTCATGAGCTTAGAATGAAGGGGAATCTCAGAAACTTATAAATTACAACAGGATAAATGCAGGAAGGACGTTCCCAACGATCAGGGAATCCACAACCAGGGGGTCATAGTTTAAGGATATCAATCAGGCCATTTAGGACAGAGATGTGGAGAAATTTCTTCACGCATAGTGGTGAACCTATGGGATCCTCTGCTGCAGAAAGCAGTCGAGTCTAAAACATTGAATGTTTTGGAGGAGAATTTATGTAGTTTTTGTAGCTAAAGGAATCAAAAGTTGTGCGGAGAAGGCAGGAATGGGTATTGGGTTAGATGATTAGCCACAATCATACCGATTGGCATAGCAGGCTTGAAGGGCCAAATGACTTATGCCTGCTCCTATTTCCAAATTTTTTTTTTTTTTTAAAACAATCAACCCATTCAGACATGTAACTACACACCTCTGGAGCAGGTCAGACTTGAACCCAGGCCTTCAGGTCTCCCATTTTCTATGGGCAAGTACAAAGCTGCAATGTTTTATTGTAACAACAATCTGCTCAGAGTACATGCAACCAAACATTGAGCAATGTTTCTTATTATGCATGGACCATTTAAAATGGAAAGAAAAAGTATCATGGATCATGTCAGAAAATGCTTAGCTTAAATGTCATTTTCAAAACTTTGGATGCAGTTCAAAAATACTGCTGCTGTCCAGCCAAAGATCCAGAAGCAGCCCAAGTTATGCTTTAATGCTGGCATACTCCTGCCTCAGCTTAGTCAGGTGGTACACTTTCTTCCTCATTTGACAATTACTGCATTCATGAGTATGCCTTGAATCAGCCACATTCTTAATAAAATTAAATGCAGAAGAAACTCATGAGATTTCGGCACACAAAGTCAACAAAATCTACATGCGTCAGGTCCACAAAACCACCTAAAATCGAGCAACCACTTTCCTACTTCAGCATTAACAACAGAAACTCAACACTGTTTTGGCTGGGTTTCCTGTGAATGCATGGAAAAGGTCCATCAACATATGCAGAACAATCCTGCAGCTTGTCCCATCAGTCATTGCAAGCACAGATACAGCCAGTGTCATATCGATCTTGTTATTGACAATCCTCTACTTCCTAACAACTCAAAGGGTCATCATGCTGGACAATAACATTTGCTGAGTCAATAGCCTCATTGGGAATTCACTCCAGCGTCAGACCTTTTGGGTCATTTTAAATACCTTTGGTGTCAGAGGCCTCTTCAAAGGAAAAAGGATAGCTTAAATAATTTGCACAACTAAAGAATATTTGATAGCAAATACTAGTTTACAGAACAAAATGTTCCCTTAGCTTAAACTTAACTAATGCCCAACTCTAACGTAATCTCCACATTTGGGAATGCTGTGGAATATTCCTTGCACTCCTGGATACAAGGGTATTGTACAAGTAATTCCCCCCACCACCTCATTTTGGGAAGGTTAACAAACCAAGGGAATACACACTTAATAGGGGGAAGAGAAAGAGGGGTTAAGGAAATGAAAGATCTCGGAGTGCATGGCCATTGGTCTCTGAAGATGGGACACGTAAAGTAGTAAAGAAAGCACCTCTGTTGTTCTCCTCCATTGAGAGATTTTTAATACACAAGCAGTGATGTAATGTTGGAAATGCAAAAGATACTGGTTAGAATATAGCTGAAGTTGTGTAAAGTTCAGGTCACTGCATTTGGGCAATGATGTCTTTCCTGTTGAGAGAGTACAGGGATCTAAAAGAACATTGCCCAGACTTGAAAACTTCAGGTATGAGGAAAAACTGGATGGGCTAGGTTTACTGCCCTTAGAACAGAGGAGGTCGAGAGGTGACTTAATCAAGGTATAAAATAATGAGGGGGCTTGGATAGGAGTGGACAAATCCAAAAGAATTCAGGATGAAAATAAAAGCAACTATGTCTTTGGGCAAATAGAATTCTGATACTAGTCTATCGATGATTTTAGATTAGACCTCAGCGTTGTTTTAGTATCGCAATGTGTGAAGAGGGGTTGGTCCATTATGTTTTGGTGTTCGGTTAATGCTACTTGGAGGTACCCGAGACACCATTTAACCGTTTGGAACTCAAACACAGTGTACCAAGTAACGCAAAAATCAGCAAATCCCAAAATCTGCATACTTAGATTAACTTTGAATGGACCAAGTAACATTTCTAGAAGTGCAAGGTTGGAGATAGAATAAAAACTTCATCTACAAGGACAAAACCAATGATGTTGCCATTTGTTTTTCTATTACATAGAGCCATGTATTATAATAAAAGATTAGGCAGATACAAGTATAGCATCATAGAAACCCCATAGTGTGAAAGTAGGCTATTCGGCCCATTGGGTTCACACCAAACCTCTGAAGAGTATCCCACCCAGATCTCGTCCACTACTCTTTGCCTGCAACCTTGCATTTCCCATGGCTAATCCGCCTACCCTGCATATCCCTAGACGCTATGGGTAATTTAGCATGGCCAATCGACCTAGTCTGCACATTTTTAGACTGTGGGAGGAAACTGAAGCAGCTGGAGGAAACCCTGGCAGACACAGGAAGAACATGCAAACTCCAGAGCAGACAGTTGCCCGAGGGTGGAATTGAACCTGGGTCCCTGGCATGGTGAGGCAGCAGTAATAACCACTGAGCCATTGTGCGGTTTGTGTTCCTATTATGTAGATTACAGAAAAGGTTGGATTACTTCTTTTTTGATTCTCGCAGAGTGCAAAGTGTAGTGAACACTACAACTGTAATAAGATGTTGGTTGTCACAAAGTAGGGGATTAAGTTTTGCAATTCGAAACATGCTAATGAAGGAAGCAACAGGAGCATACGGACTGCAGCAAGTACAATGAACGCAAATTTCTTTTATTTTAATACAAAAATGCATTTTTCCACATGTGCACTGGTTTGCCAACTCTTTGGTACAGTACACTTTGATATTTGGAATCTCAATTTAATAAACCATATTTGTTAAACTGAACACGATTACCCAAACCAAACCAATGATTTTCATAAGCAGTTTGGATAAACAGAAGCATACTGTACAACCTGCTCAATAGCAGGCTCAGTTTTACATTTTGTGACTGAAATGTACTGTGAATACCAAACTAAATATTCTTATAAATTAAATGAGAAGATCTATGTACCAGTTTTAGATCAGTTTAACAATGGCTTGGCAGAATGAGGGAGAGAATATATTTCACCTCTATTAAAATTAAGAAATCATAACATTTAATTTAAAATTTACCCAATGATGAATGGATGAGGCAAACAAAAGGGCTTTTCCCATCAGGTTTAATAGTCACACACAAAATGTAAAGCATTCTCTTGTTTTATTCGGAATTTCCCTACTTCCCTCTATACAAGAACCTTTGATGAAACTTTTGACAAAGGCAGCAGTGAAATTTCAGAAACATTTTTCAGTTCTCCTAGGCCAAATGACCATAATCACAGTGTAACAATACATGATCTGCTGTCATCTTTGGCTGGGGTTAGGCTAACAGGGTACTGACTAGCCAAAGCCTAGGAGGTTACGGTCAAAGCTACTACAGCCTGTGGTTTGGACTTCCAGCTACAAGCCAAATACAGGAATGTTTACCACCACTGAACCTCCAGGTGTGTGACAGCATTACCTTCCATAAATTTTATAGACAAATGAAAAAATTAATCTACAAAACCTGGACCTAGTTATATTATTACACACAATACACACATTTTATTATACTCTACACAAAACCAAAGTTCTTCGTCTTAATGGCTAGTAACAGTTTTTGTTTGAGAATCTGTTTGGAGGAATAAAGTGGGACGTATAGACGCGAGATGCAAGTGTTTGCCGTTGGAAGATGTTGATCATCTGGTGGTCGAATGGTGATTGATGGCATCGGTTGGAAACCTTCCTCGCTGGCAGGCAACGATGGGCTTGATGTCCAGAAGTACACCTAAAATCCGGAAAGAAAATCAATCACATCCGTCAGCGAATTACTCCCGTAAGTCACTCCTCAGCGCTATTATTACCCTATTTACCAAGATTAAATGTACTTTTCCTTGTTAAACTCCACATCAATCTTCCAAACCCAATTAAAAAGAAATCACTTTAGAGTCATACCAGATCCTGTCTTTCTGTCATGCTCATCTTCTCCACAATGGACCAGAACCACCGTTTGAACTGTAGCAATTTCTCAGCGTTTTCCCCTGTCGCAACAAATGTTAAAACGTTATATTCACGTCTCTGGGACTAACCTGGAAATACTAACTCCATGTTTTAATTGTTTAATGATGCCTCTTCTGAAAATGGCTGAACTTAAGAAGTCACAAGCAAAAAAAATGTACCAATCTGATTTCTCTGGCAGGGCAGAATATTTTAACTATCCCAGGGGTGGGGGTGGGAGATAATGAGATAAGAGATCTACAGTACAACTTACCAGTGAGTTTGACAGTGGTGAGTAAGTTGTTGGAGGGGATTTTGAGAGATCGGATTTATATGCATTTGGACAGGCAAGAACTGATTAGGAATAGTCAGCATGGCTTTGTGCATGGTAATCATGTCTCACAAACTTGGAGGATTTTTTTTGAGGACGTAATCAAAGACTGATGAGTGCTGAGCGGTATGTTGACTACATGGACTTTGGTAAAGCCTTTGACAAGGTTCCACATGGTAGACTAATTAGGTAAGTTAGATCACACGGGAATCAGGGAGAACTTGCCATTTGGATACAAAATTGGCATGATTGTAAGGGACAGAGGATGGTGTAGGGCATTTTTTGGACTGGAAGCCTGTGACCAGCAGTATTCTGCTGAGAACAGTGCTGGGTCCACTTTTGTTTGTGAGTTATATAAACAATTTGGATGAGAATTTAGGAGGCATGGTTTGCGGATGATGCTAAAATTGGTGGTATAGTCATCAGTGAAAAAGATTATCTAAGATTACAGAGGGATCCCAGCAGTGCCTGTGCTTTCCGGCGGCACGGTAGCTCAGTCGTTAGCACTGCTGTCTCACAGCACCAGGAACCCGGGTTCGATTCGACCCTCAGGCGACTGTGTGAAGTATGCACATTCTCCCTGTGTCTGCGTGGGTTTCCTCCAGGAGCTCTGTTTTCCTCCCACAGTCCAAAGATGCTGCAGGCGAGGTGGAGTGGCCATGCTAAATTGCCCATAGTGTTCAGGAATGTGTAGGTTAGGTGATGGGTCTGGGTGGGATGCCTCAAGCGTCAGTGTGGATTTGTTGGACTGAAGGGCCTGTTTCCACACAGTAGAGATTCTATAATCTTGATCAATTGGGCCAATGGGCTGAGGAGTGGCAGATGGAGTTTAATTTAGATAAATGCAAGGTATTGCAATTTGGTAAAACAAATAAGGGCAGGACTTATATAGCTAATGGTATGGTCCTGGGTAGTGTTGCCGAACAGAGACACCTAGGGGTTCAGGTACATAATTCTTTGAAATTTGCATCACAGGTAGTCAGGGCGGTTAAGGCGGCATTTAGCATGCTTGCTTTTACTGCTCAGACCATTGAGTAAAGAAGTTGGGACATCACGTTGAGGTTGTACAGGACGCCCATGAGGCCACTTTTGGCGTACTGTGTACAATTCTGCTTGCCCTGCTATAGGAAAGATATTAAATTGGAGAGGGCTCAGAAATGAATTACCAGGACGTTACTAGGACTGGAAGGTTTGCATTACAAGGATAGGCAGGAACTTTTTTCACTGGAAAATAAGAGGTTGAGGGGTGACCTTCCAGAGGTTTTTAAAATCTTGAGGGACATAGATAAGGTGAATAGCAAAGGTCTTTTCCCTAGGATGGTGGAGTTCAGAACTATGGGGCATATTTTTAAGGTGAGAGAAAGAAGTTTTAAAAGGGACCTGAGGAGCAACTTTTTCCACAAATGAGGGTGGTTCATGTGTGGAATGAACTGCCAGAGGAAGTGGTGGATGCAGGTATAGTTACAATATTTAAAAGACATTTGGATAGGTACATGATCAAGAAAGGTTTAGAGGGATATGCAGGCAAGTGGGACTAGTTTAGTTTGAGAATGTGGTTGGTATGAATGAGTTGGACTAAGGGTCTGTTTTTGTGCTGTATGACTCTATGAAGGCACAGCAGTACTTGACACAAATTGAAGCATCTGGTGCAGAAACAATTACACGGGTTTGTGCCTGCAATTCCTACAATTAAGCTCTCAATTTCAAGGCTGTGGTGTGTGTGTAGGTGTGTGTGTGTGTGTAGGTGTGTGTGTGTGTGTGTGTAGGTGTGTGTGTGTGTGTAGAAGAGAGAAATCTTCCCCTCACCAATCTAATGGTCAGATACCTTCCCATCAGGAAGGAGAAAAAGTCCAGTCACTATTTCCTGGCAGGCCAGAAAGCTGTACTAGCAACAGCTTGACAGACTACTTAGGCTTGATGCTCCCTTAGGGATGAACAGAAAACACCAAACCATCCCAGGCCCCAAGAAGACTTTCCACATCAAGCAGATGTTCACCTGCACATCTGCCAATGTGGTATACTGCATCCACTGTACCCGGTGTGGCTTCCTCTACAATCGGGGAAACCAAGCGGAGGCTCAGGGACCGCTTTACAGAACACCTATGCTCAGTTCACAATAAACAACTGCACCTCCCAGTCGCGAACCATTTCAACTCCCCCTCCCATTCCTCAGACAACATGTCCATCCTGGGCTCCTGCAGTGCCACAACGATGCCACCCGAAGGTTGCAGGAACAGCAACTCATATTCCGCTTGGGAGCCCTGCAGCCCAATGGTATCAATGTGGATTTCACAAGTTTCAAAATCTCCCCTCCTCCTACCGCATCCCAAAACCAGTCCAGCTCATCCCTGCCTCCCTAACCTGTTCTTCCTCCCACCTACCCCCTCCTCCCACCTCAAGCCGCACCTCTATCTCCTACCGACTAACCTCATCCCACCCCCTTGACCTGTCCATCCTCCCTGGACTGACCTATCCCCTCCCTAACTCCCCACCTACACTCACCTTTACTGGCCCCACCCCCACCTCTTCGATCTGTTTGTTTCCTCTCCACCTATCCTCTCCTCTATCCATCTTCTATCCGCCTCCCACTCTCTCCCTATTTATTTCGGAACCCCGTTCCCCTCCCCCTTTTCTGATGAAGGGTCTAGGCCCGAAACGTCAGCCTCTCTGCTCCTATGCTGCTGCTTGGCCTGCTGTGTTCATCCAGCCCTGCACCTTGTTGTCTCGGATTCACCAGCATCTGCAGTTCCTACTATCAAAGATTTACTAAATTGGAGTTTAGGAAACCTTCCCACTAATTAACGACATTACAAAGTTTATATGAAATTCTAAAAAAGCTTGATTATTTTGCTTCATACAGGATACATACAAACAAGTTAGGAGCAGTAGGCCATCTGTCCTCTCAAGGCTGCTCCATCTTTTGGTAAGTTCATGTCTGATCTAACTGTGGCCTCAACTCCACTTCCTGCCTACTCCTTGTCAGTCAATAACACATCTAATCTGCCTAAAGATTTTCCAATGAATTTACTCCCGCTCTTTGGGAATGAAAGTTCCACATACCCATGTACCCGAGTGTAAAAAAATTTTCATCTGTTTTAAATGGGAGACCCTTTATTTTTAAGATTCTAGTTATATTCTCTCAAAAAAGTCAAATCTCCACTGAATCTTACACGTTCCAAAGATCACTTGCCATTCTTCTAAACATCAAGGAATACAAAGTCAACGTGTCCAGTCTTCCTCAAAAGATAATTCCTTCACACAAGCCTTCTTTAAACAGCTTCTACTGCAATTCCACTCCTCCTTAAATTTGGAGATGAAAACAGTACAAAGAACACAAGATACTGTCTCACCAATACCCTATACAGCTGCAGAAAGACACCCTACTTGTGTATTCCATTCGTCTTCCTAATTAATTTGCCGTACCTACAAAAACAATTTGTGATGCATGCCCCAGGACATCCAAATCCCTCCATACCTCAAGTTCTTCAATTCCTCTCCACATGAATAATATGCTGCTTTTCTAGACTTCCTGCCAAAGTGGACTAGTTCACATTTACCCACATTATATGCTGTCTGTCTACTTGTGTAACCTGGCCAGATCACTTTCCAATCTTTGGTCATCAGCAAATACTGCAATCAGAGTTTAGGGCTTGTGGTGCAGTGGTGTCGTTATCTTGCACAAGGAGGGCCCAGGTTCAAGTTCCACCTGCTGCAAAGCTGTGTAAGACATGTCTGAACAGATTGAAAATAGCTACATTCTGTCCTTTCATCTACATTATTGAGAGATGTTAAATAGTTGAGGCCCCAGCACTTGTCCCTGTGGCACTTCATTCGCTATATTTTGCCAACTCAAAAATGACCCAAGTATGTCCGCAGCTTCCTGAGATAACCAAGACTCTATTCATGACACAGTCACTGGAGTTTAGGTGAATGATGTTTGACTTAATTGAAGATTCTGAATTGTCTTGGCAAGGTGGACACAAAAATCATCCTTTGTTGGTGAGTCAAGAGTTAGGGGAAGGTGAAATGTTAAAGTTTAGGTTGTTCCTTTCAGTCAGAGCTGAGAAATCATTTTTTCCTCTTAGAAGAGGTGCTACTTTGGAATATTGCCTCCACTGTCTTCTGAGACAGTCATTATATTTTTGTTGGGCAAAGGAAGCAATTTACCTCTGCCTTAAAATATTTAATGTACAAAAACAGAAATTGCTGGCAAAACTCAGCAGGTCTGGCAGCATCTATGGAAAGAAAACAGAGTTAGCATTTTGAGTCCAGTGACTCTTCATTAGAACTGCTAAGTTTCACCAGCAATTTCTGTTCTTGTTTCAGATGTCCAGCAGCTGCAGTTCTTGGTTTTAAAAATATGAAATGACCTAGAGTAACTGACTTTTGAATATGAACAGATCAATGATTTATTGAAGAGTGGAACTGTCTCAAATAAGCAAATAGCCTACTTCTGCTTCTGGTTCTTATGTTTGTATGGTACCCCCCTACACTGTGAGCTCATGTAGCAACCTTTGATATGGCACCTAGTCAAAAATCTGCGTGGAATCAAAGGACACCACACCCACAAATTCTCCTTTATCCAACTTCATACTTACTTGCTTAAAAGAACTGCAATAAATTAGTCTAACACAATTTCCCTTTCATAAATCATGCTGACTCTACCTAATTGCACATAGATTTTCTAATTGTTAGATAACATTTTCTCTATTACAGATGCTAAGCCAACTGACCTGTATAAGTTCCTCCTTCCCATGTCACACCTTCTCAAAGATTAGCTGCATTCATTATTTTCCAATGCGATTATTATTTCCCTCATTGCTACCTTGCTCTCTTGCCTTGTCCTTCCTTTAACTTATTAAATCTTCCCTCACATTTAATTTAAAGCCCTCTCTAAAGCACTGAAAAACAGGACTGATTACATTGTTGATTAAGTTTCATTGCTTGCATTCATTGTTCTGTATACAAGACTGGTATCCCATTGTTAGAACACTTACCAACATTTAATCATAATTTCCCTACTTGGCCCAAAGTAGGCAGTTGTTCCTTACCAGACTCATCATTGAAAGACGTGTAACTAATCAACATTTGAACATTCACTTCTCCGCATCCATTGACCAAGAGCCTAAAATCTTCTGCTGTCAGATCTTCTAGTGAATTCTTAGGAAGTACATCCAGCAGTCCTTTTCGCATTGCCTGTAAATCAAATATCAATATACACTAAACACAGAGCAATCACTAAAAATGTGTACAAATAGAAAAAAAATCTAAAAATTCATCTATAATTTAACCCAGAAACAGATGGTTTTAGACAGGCCTTTACAGGAGATGGAACTTTGATTTAACAGCTCATTTGTCAATAGATTTCCTGAGTTTGATGTACCCTAACTTATTGGCAAAATGTTTACAGTTTCAGAGGGAGAGACTTACAAAGGCAGTTTCCATTTTAGGTGTAGAACAGAGGTGGATAAACAGGATGCATGACCTTAAAATAGGGATAAAATGTGTGTGTGTTGTGGTACAATTACCCCTGCACGTTCTCAAATCAATTTGCACAAGGAATGCAGATTACTTCCTTCCTATTGTCTTTTCATCTACGTAAGTAAAGGACATAAAATGATGCTGTACTCAAGTGCTCAAATGAGAGTTCAGCTGAGCCAGGTCATGGGCATATAGAGCTACCCAACTGAAGGGATAGATTGAAGGTGAGTGGTAGAAGGATCAGAAGAAAATGAGGATAAGTATTTTCACTCAGAGGGTGGTGGTTGTGTGGAATTAACTACCCAGTTTGGTGGTCAAGGCAGAAACCCTCATACCCATTTAAAAGGAATGTGGATCTGGACCTGAAACGCTGTAACCTGCAAGCCTAGTGACCAGATGCTGATAAGTAGAATTAAAATGGGTGGCTAGTTTATTTAGCAAATGCAGCCCCTATGGGCTGAATGGACTCTGCTTTTCTACGGTTCAGCATGGACTGAAGTACATCCTATTTCACGAGTCTTCACAGCAGACAACAATGGTGAATTACTAATAGTACATTGTACATTAAGGTAAAAAAAGTGTCAACACATTGGCCTGCTGGTCCTATTGTATTCACTGGAGAAAGCTAAAAGAAATGGGAGCTGTGTTCAGTGAGCACAATACTTGTATTTAATAGCTTGCTGATGGTGAGGATTGTTTCCACATGGTACAGATACAGAAAAATGAAAATGAGTCAGGACAAAAGTTTTCCATCATTTTAAAAAAAAAAATTCATTGATGGGATATAGATAGCACTGCCTTGACCAGATGGTGGTGAACCAATTAGCTTAATTTGGTAAACAGGCAAATTGCTATGAGATAGTTTGCTGTAAGAGATTAATGATGTACAAATATAAACAGAGATCACAGATAACTGTGACAGAAAGTATTGTGAAGACTGTCAATGCGGTTTTTGAATATTTTGAAGAAATGACTGAACAAATGGATGACAAGTTGCCATGCAATTGGCTAATTAACAAACATGAACACTATGGGATTAGAGGGCAGATTTTGGGTTAGATAAAGTTTTGGTTGCATGTTTAAGTAGGAAGTTGCCATTAATCATAGTAGTTTTGCGTATTCTAACTAACAATTAGGGCAATTACATTCCATAATCTTTATCAAATGACTTGATTGAAACTTTTCATAAAAATAAATTATGCATGAAAATGTCACGTGGACAGGCAAATAGATTTCAAACCTAAAATTAAGAGTTTTGACAAAACAAACATGGAGAAGCTATTTACACAAGTTATCATTCAGACCATTGTCAATAACCACCTTCCAACAAGAATGCAACTAATTCCTTATTGATTCCAAAATCTGTCCTCTAACTCTGTATAACCCTTTGTCTAAGATAAGGATGATCTCCCATCTGACTCATCATTTAACTTAATGAACTGTTGTGATATGCCAGTAAGTAGGGCTCAGTTATGTGCCATAAAGTGTGGAGAAAGATCTCCTCATAGTCCAGAAACATCTGAAGTTTCACCATCAATCCCATGAGGCTATAACAATATCAAATATTAGTGATCTTCCTCGCAATACTTTATTGCGAACAGAAATACTCTGCTACTTTTTAAGACCTCATCTGAAACACTGTCCAGTTTTGGTCCTCTCATTTTAGGGAATGGGTGGGTACAAGTCCTGGTAAAGATTCAAAGGAAGCTCACGAGATTGAAACCAGGTACTAAGACCTTAGTTAACATGGGTTGAGACCTATGATGCATCAAACTCTAGACAAGCAAACAGATTTAATATAAATCTTCAAAGAACTACAAGTATTATCTTTTGTCCAATTGATACAATGAGTTAGATGGCTTAGGAAATACCAGATAGCACAAGAAAATCTAAGTTAGACGTCAGAGGGGATATTTTCTCCCCGGAATCATTGACTTATGCAAATATTGCTGGCTTGTGTGGATTTGCTACAACCATTCAAGATCTCTGAACTGTCACTATCATGACAGCATAAAAAATTTTGCTGGGATATCACTCTCAGATCATTGCAGTCTCCTGGAATGTGTCTGATTGGAGAGGCAAAGTATTTTGTACTCCTATTTGCACAATTTAGTACTGTTTAAGCTTTTACATGCATCTTGCAGAGCTTGGTTCGAGTGTGTGGCAGGCAAAAAATGGAACATTGTGCACATAAGCTGCAGCACAACACTATGGTATGTGTTTCTTGGCCCATGTGGCCCTGTACTGTCCATTCTTTCTGCACCTCCGTTCTACAGAAAGAGAACATTTAAACTCAGCATGTCTACACTAGTTCCTTGCCACTTAAACTCAAGCATAATGCCTTGTGCGATTGCTTTCAGTCATCAGAAGAAATTCTTCAGTTTTTTTGAACAGACTTGCTTTTCAAAAGCATCACCTAGGAGATTGCGTAAAGGTGTGGTGAAGGTAGGAGAAGATGCAGGTAGCCGCACTTGACTTTTCCCATGCTCACTGCAGTAACTGAAGCCTACACATGACCAAACAATTATGTTGCGTCATCTTTTTATTTAAAAAACTACACCTGATATCAGTATCGTTCTTATTGACTGCAACCCCAGTGGATATCACGTCATTGAGCAAATTTCATTATTAAGAACCACTGAATCACATTCTGTGCAACTGCAAGTGTTTCCATAGCATCGTGACCAATGTACTGTTCGCTGTAGTCTCAATAATGACTTCATCCTTTCCAACAAAGGTAACAAAAGTGCATTAGAAGTAGAGGGACTCACATGAAGGGGCTGCTCAGCAACCACCAACATTCGATATTCTGCATATTTCCTAACATATTCGTAAACATTCAAAGGAGTGACTGGGATATTGGCTCCACCAGGAACAAGTTCAACCTGTAAAGAAAACAAATCTCTTAAACTGAGCTCCAGTTACAGTAAAAAAAAAGAGATTAGATAGTTTTTAAGCTAAGGTAATACTGGATTAGAATGCCTTTTCTTCAAGCAACTGCCACATGAAGGTGCAAAATTAGGAAGGGGGCCTCGAACCATTCAAAGCATTGCTTGCATTGAAGTGCCTAACTTTTATGCTTGCACAGGATGGTTGACTCTTTCACAAATTCTGTAGTCAACAGAAAATACTTAATCTACGTGTCACGTGCCAAGTAATATTTCTCTTGAAATGCTTAGAGCATTCCATGATTCACTTATTCCTTCCTGCCAAATACATTGTAGACCACTCATTTGGATATCGTAATGTCAAAAGGATGAGAAAAACACGTGCTTATAGCGTTACTAGCTACATAGATTACAGACTCAGTAAACAGTGTAAGGGTGTCACATCATATGATCTTGTTGATTTGACTAGGCTATTTTGTGAAAGTGATGTGGTTAAAAGGCTTTAACTTGATAATATTTTTTCAGTCCTTATAATTAAACCTATAGAATTTATTTGCTTAGGATGATTCACAACCCCTACCGAATCGTGCTTCTTTGTGTGGCAGCTTAGGAGGCTAATTTCTTCATTAGCTTGAAACGTGACATTGTGCAAAAATGAATCAAGTTTTTTTTTTTTAAAACATCCAAGTAGGTTTATCTTGCACACTATGACAAGGTAACAATGAAGGACAGGAAAGGCAGCAGCCTGGTGGTTCATTATGCTCGCATGCAGCAATGAACTCCCTAGGCCTACAGAATCAGAATGTTATGCCATAAGGATGAACCATTTGGATTATCTAGCACACAATTGGTGAACTATAGAGAACATATTCCAATGATGTCTTTACAAAATTGTGCCAAATTAACTAAAAGAGCTTTAAGACCAGATTTTTTAAAGTGATATATGACAAACTTAGCATTTGCATGCAATATTCCCAATTGGAATTGCAGCTGGGAGGAAAAATAAGTTTATGTTCTATTCATTTGCTGAAAACCAAAAGTTTACTAAGTGTGAAGAGTCACTGAAAAACCATCATACCTGCCCTCCACCTTCTTCCTTACATAGATCGATAGCAAAAGCTAGGTCCATTGCTGCAAAGACTGCATATGCATCCTGGCTCTGGGAGGCGAGGATGAGTTGGCGTAAACTTTCATACATCACATGATCAAAGAAAGCAAAATCATGCCAATTCACCTGGAAAGTTAAGAAATTATTTCCAAATCAAGTGAAGTCCTAATATTATACACAAATAGAAAGTGTCAACAAGCTATGAATTCAATAGAAGCACATTCTTACTTTTCTTCCTAGTAGAATTTTAATAACATGTCTATTTAGGGTTATAGGGCAGAGTTCATTTTGTAGTAGACACAGGCCCAATATCCTGAAAAGGAACGCAAGAATATATCAATGTCATTAAAGTTCAAATTAACAATATCCAACATGCGCAATACATTCACAATTGATGTCACAAAAATTTCATGATTGTGTTGCACCTGATTTTACCTGCCGATATTACGGAAACAATTGAGACGTGCTTCTGTGTTTTTGCCTGGCCTTGGTGAATAGAAGCCTCTCTTTCCAGGCTGGTAGAAGAGTGGAGCATTGTCATCACCATCATCTGGCTCATCCAATTCCATATCAACTACACTTCGACTCGAGCCATGTCGTTTTCTAGTGTCCTGCTGCACAGCAATATAAAAAAAAAATCACCTACAACTTTTAGAATCATTAATTGTAGCAGGACTAGATCTTTTCTGACTAAACTTTTGCTTTCGTCTTTTGCTGAAACAGAACTATAAAATATCACAGTTCAGGAATGTGCAAAGTGTGCACAGAGTGTTACTTATTGCAGGTAGGCATGTACACATACAGACAGATGACTTGGATATTAGAATTTCATGACACATTCAAACTTGGAGTAGTAGACAGTAAGGATATGTTTCAACTATAAACATGTAAAATTCGAAATTCTAATAAGGCTGGAAGACTAAAATCAGGGAGGCTGTATTCCCTGCTTGGAAAGTTTAGACCCACGGAAGAAATGTCTCTGGATATGGGATAGACTATTTAGGATTTAGAGGAGGAAAGAATTTCCCACTCAAAAAGGTAGTGAACCTGTGGAATTCTCTCCAAAGTTGGCTGTAGAGGCCATGTCTCAATATATTCAAGAAAGAGATGGATAATTTTTTGATTTTAAAGGCAAAAATGTATGCGGCCATTATGTAAAAAGGAAAATCGGATTGCCAATGGACAGAATAAACCTGAAGGGCTGCAGGGCTAGATTGGTGGCAACAGGACTGATTGGATTTGTCTGCAAAGGGCCAGCATGAGCGAGATGGACCAAATCATTTTGTTCTGGGCCAAAATGATAGGATAAAACTGAAAAGACCAGCACTGTAAGTGTGTAAGTCAAAAATCTAGTTTGCTGCTCACAGCTGCTGTGTTATTAGCTATAAGAGCATGTAAAAACAAACATGAACATGGAAGTCATGCAAAAAATACTACCAGGTAATATTACTAAATTATGGAATGCTTTCCTTTACTGCAATCCCATTCCATAATCTCAAATCCAACTGGTTAGATTTATTCAAAGAGTGCATTATTCTTTTACCTGAGATTTATCTGATGAATCGAGCAATCCCAAATCCAATATACTATCGGCACCATTTTCCCTGCAGAAAAATTGAACTCTTTAGTGGGACAGATTTTTAACAGACAAATGTAGGATTAGACAGGATCATAATTTTTTTTGAAAGTATTTTACCTTCCATGTGCAATTATGAGTTCCATGGCCTCATCAACTCTTGCTCTTAGTGAGTCTTCACTAGCCAGAAGGAGCAAAAGCTGTGCAGGAGATAATTCTAGTAACATTCCTGTAATTTTACTGGCAAATGCCTGAAATTTTAGAAAAAAATTCAATTAATACATTACAACTTTTAATTCCAAGTTCAAACTTTTTTGCCAAAATAAACCTAAACTTGAATAAGATTCTACAGGTAGAGATTATTAGTATACTTTACAGCATACTTACTGGTTGCATTGCTTGAACCCGTGGATACAGTCGTTCTCCAAGTGCTTGTCGATGGGCTGGCAGTGGATCTGGATCGTCACTAGGATTTCCTTCTGATGCTGGCCGGAAAGGTCTAGTATCTATGGAAAGTTGCCTTCTTGATTCCCTAAAAATTGAAAACAAATACTAACTTTATGCTCTAATTGTTACTGCATTATATCTGAACAATCAGCCACAGAATTGTTGCATTATTTCTTCAATGCATGATTAACACTAAACTGGAAATCTAGGTGGTGCCATCCTTTTAATTATTTAAATAGTGCGGAAATGTATTTAAGCAGAAAAGTTAACACCTATGTTTATAATATGCACATTGTTTGTCAGTTCTTTCAAACAAAACTAAGCTGGAAACAGGGTATTAAATTCACCACTTGGCTTTCAGAATCTACTAATTATTTAGTACAGCAAGAGGAAAATGTGCTAACTTTTTAGTATTTTCTTGATGTTTGTAAGTTAGTTCTACAGTGCTAGCACTTTATTAATTCAGGTGCTTGACAGCCATTCCACAATTAAAATTAATGAAACAGGCCCTTGAAGCAGCACTTTAAGTTTAATGTGACAATGTGAAAGCTGATTAAATGTATTGGCTTTGTGAGAATAAGTCTCAATTTGATATGAATGCATTGGAAAAAAAAACTGAGCCAATTTGATCACTGCAGCACTCTTGTAACAATACGGAATATCAAAACAGTTCCATGCTTTAAATTTTTCACAAACCCTGGTCACAGCAACACAAATGAAGCAGCATGACTGAAAAAATATTTCAGCATAAGCTTGCAAGATAACAAACTGCAATGTTTTACAGATGCCATTCCAGGGAACATATTATTTCACAAAGAAATCTGAATTGACAGATAATCACTTGTCAAATCCAAGCACAATAAACTTCAGGCAGTAGTTCCAAAATACTGAAGATAGTTTTGAAGAAGGTATCCAAGATATGTTGAAGATTCAGGCCGGGTAGCAAACATGAATTATTTTTTGGTTTAGTTGACAAGATGACAGCGCATAAAAACTGTCACAAACATAAGCTGAAATTGGATTTTGCTAATCTGGTTTATATCACTGGTATAAAATTTTACCTTTGTTAGCTTCCTCAAAGTTGCAATTTGCAGATAAACATAAGAAATCTTCTGTTACATGCGCTAAAGTGTTATATTGATTTAACTGAATTTGAACTGAATCAAAATGTAAATTCACAAAACTGTTTAGGGTTGAACTATAGGGCATGACATAATTCTCCTGTCTTCAGAGGTCTGAGTACACATGAATACCAGAGTAAGACCCGGTCCATAAGGCAAGTTTTTTTTTTGAAAAAAAAGGACAGGAGAAGGTACAGTGTAAAAGTGAATCATGCCTTTTCCCTTTGTTTGTGTACACACAAAGAGACTATTTCAACTGTAGCTTCATGTCAGACAAAGTCTTGTGCATTTAACAACTGTTATAACAGTTCACACTCACCGATCTCTATCGCGACGAGAGCCTGCTCTCATTCCACCACTTCTCCTCATTTCCCTCTCTCTCTCTCTTTCTCGCTCCCTCTCTCTGTTTCTCAACCGTTGCATTAAACCTAAGGCAAAAACAACGAGTAAAAACCTCGAATTTTGGTATTCAATTTTATTAGTTCTATTGAGGTAGAGGGAAAACAGCTGGCACCATTGATTAATTTTAAGAACGACGACATTGTAAATTTTAATGCTCTGTTGAAAATCTCAAAACAATGAATATATTTTGGATCTATTTGTAATAATTAACGCTACTTCCAACATGATCAGGACCCATCTCTCTGCATATGTACATACAATCAAGCTATAACAGGATAGGCTTATGTATAGTATATAAAAAGTACACAAAAGACTAACTCTATGGTTAAAATAGCGCAATAGAAATGTACTACTGTTTAGCACACTGCCTAATATTTCATAGAAAATAATACCAATGAACTTGAAAAATAGCCTAGTCATGAGGAAGATCAGCAGCTTGCCATCACATGCTTTAAGAAACAGAGACTTAGTTTCAACAACAATTCTCTCAAATACAGAGATATTTATCCTTTTATTTCCACTGTTTTGCATTTTGATAATTTGCTCCTTTGATGTAATAATAATCAGTGAGGTTACAGGCTGTATGACATGGAAGAGACAGGCATTCTAGGTTTAATCATGATTACATAAGTTTGCTTGATCTGCGAATAACAGTTAGAAGTTATGTCACCAAATTTATCCTGTATCTTAATTAATTTGAGGTGTTGATGGCATTAAATACTACTGTTTAGATTCCTTCAGTTTTTCAAAACAAGTTAACTGGTCAAGATTTAGGAACTGCATGCATAAATTAGTTTCTTGTGGAATATTTAAAGATGACATACTGGTTTGTAATCCCTTGCTAGCATTCTGTATACAGTCCAGGTTTGGCAATTTTTCACTAGATAGAAATGCTTGTGCAATTGCAGTGTAAAAACTTCGAGCCACTCCACTGCCCTCGCCTGGCTCATCTTTGAATGTAACCTTCACCCTGTGTACGGTCATTGGAGTTGTAGTGCATCGACGGCCAAAGTGATTATTTAGCTGCCTCATTGTCTGTTGAATCAAGAGGTCACGATCTCGATCAACCTGAAACACCACAGAAATTAAATGTGAACAGCCTTTAGTAACTCTTCTCATCAAGATTTTAAAAATGCTGAGACATACGTGAACTTATAGACAGAGCAAATACTATCCAAATACAATACCAGGAAGTTGCCGTTTAAAAAATAGTAAAATAAAGTAGACTACCTAGTGAAGACATCTCAACTAAGACTAGTTTAAGCTGCGGGCTGGCTAAACTACATAACCCAGAAGTTTCCAGGTTTAATGCTTATACTATACGAATAAATGACTGTAACCAGTCAAGATGTGGACATTCTAATTGGTGATAACATTTTGAAGGAAACAGAACAAACAATCCAGGTCCTCAGCATTGACTGCTACCCATTGTTGGAAAGTGCACACATGGAAACTCAGGTCACATGAAATTAGCATCCTGATAATCAAAGAAACCAGTGTCCAGGCTCACATATGCTAATGTCTACCTGAACATGGACTGAGAGGTAAAGTCACCATCATCCCAATGGACCGTAGGGCTGCTCTCTAATCAGAGACACACAACTGGTGGAGAGTTTATCCTGACAGCAACCACGCCTCAGGCGAGGGGAAGAGGTTGAGAAGGCGGGAGTTCTGTGGTGACACTGGCCAGTTCAGGAACTGAATCCACACCGTTTGCATCACTCCGCATTGCAAATCAGCCACCCAGTCAACTGAACTGACTGACTCTCACCCCGAGAAAGGGCTAAAGAACTAGCAGGCCTCATGCAAAATTGTCCAGTTTCCTAAGAGAGTTTTCATAAGAATACAAGTTCATGTAGGACTTATTTTTACTACAACAAAATGCAGTTTTGATTTTAAAAACTAAAATGACAGTGTCAGCTTCCAAGAAAAAAATTTACACTGTCTTCTAAAGCTTAGAATGGGACAAAAGGATGTCTGCACACAAAAGCAATATTTAAGTAACAGCAAACTAACAAGTGAACATTTAAACATTCCCTCTAAGCTGCACTTGCACACATACAGCCACTCCACTGTTCCATGGCATTGAGCTCTGGTTCCAGAAGTCGCTGGCCCCCCAAGGCCTCAGAGGCCTGGGCAGCCGGAAAGAAAATTAGAAGGAGCTCTGCTTATACCTCTAAAGTTAGGTCTCTAGACTGAGCATTTCTTAGTTTCTCCATTTCTCGTCGGAATTTCGACTCCTTAACTTCAAACCCACCAAGTTCAGTCAAAATCTGTTGAAAGAAAAGTTCACTCTACATTACTTGAATTGAAATTATGTTCAGCTTGTAAACAAAACCATCATAATAGTCTAGTTTTTTTTGTTTTGAATGTTGTACATTAAATATCTTTACCGATCCAGGTTCAGCTCCTACATCTTCCATAAACACTCTTCCAAAGAGTTCCAAAGATAGGCGCCAACGTCCCAATAACATGTCATGAGAAACCACCATGCCCATGAAACTACATTGTGGCCTGGTTATAAATGAAAACAAGGAATTAATGATACATTTCTTAAAAAAAAACATAAGCAATAACAAAACATGACAAAATGTACTTAGTACAGTTTTGGACAATTTTTCACTATTTTGAAAGACAATTAGAATTTAATAAAAATACCAAGATTATAAAGGAACGTGAAGAATAGTTACCGAAATGAAGTAAGTGGTGGTCCTTCACTTTCAGTAAGCCCGATCTCAGCCAGTAAACTACTTTTCAGTTGTGCTGCAAGGTCCTGAGCAGACGGTCCTATTCGCGAATTTTCAGATTCATCTTCGGGTAAAACTTGCTCATCGGCTGCTTTCCTCTGACGATTCTGCATACTCATAACATTCTTCAGGTTAGAGCAGTAAGACATTTTTGTGGGAAGCACCTAAAGAATAGAACCACAACATTCCTATGGATGAGTCACGTTTAGTTTAAAAATATTTATGCAACTCAGCTCATTTAAATTGGACATGAACTGTGTTTGTAGTAGTCTTGGTTTTCTAAAGGCAAATGAAATGTTAGGTTAACTAAAAGCATAAAACAAAACCACTTCCATGAATTTTCATAGAATGTAGAGGAAAGCTAAGCGCTAAGCTAGTGAATGACACACTTTACCTTTGACATTGTGAATACCATAAGATCAATGCTGTGTACCAACCACTTTTTCTGGAGTTGGCTGAACTGACAACAGAATTTAAAATTGCAAATGATCAAAAATAGCTTCCTAAATACCGGATGTAAGAAAGTGGACTTCTTACTGAAAAGTAATTTTTAAAAAAAATTCAATAATTCCAAACCTTCCGAACTTAATTTCCTTTACCTGCAAGAAAAGTTGTGTGCATTCTAATGCATTCAACCTAACTTACCATGTCCCATTTCTCTACCACTTATGCTCACTGACCTATGTTGAACCCTGCTTTAACAACAAAATTAAAATTATTGTGTCATCTCTCACTATCATCAGTTTCCTTCAATGCCATAATGCTCCAAAATAGCTGCACTTGTTTTATTCAGTCCTTGCGCATCCTAATTTTAACCTCTCCATTACTGGTTACCATGCCTTCAGTTGGCTGAGTATACAGCACTGGAATTTTCTCCCTAAACCTCTCTGGCTCTTTAAGCTCCACTATGATTCTCATCAAAATCGGCTTCCATGACCAAGCAGTCCTAACATTTTGTTTCAGAGCAATTTGGGAAGCTTTATTACAGTGTAGCAACATGTAAAAAAAGTTGCTGTTTTCTTCCACTAGCCTAAAAATAAAGCAAAAGTGCTAGCAAGTCAGGAGAAGAAGCATTTGGTAATACAAAAACTTTTACTTCGCTGGTGTCTTCTAGAAAGAAGTTCCATCGAGATTGAATGTTGCAACAGTATGTGGCAGTACTGAAGACATACTAAAACATTCCTACACACAGTCGCTTACCATACTTTTAAATAGAAAACACTTTATATACACTGATCTTACCTCTAGGCAGTTTCTATCCACAGTTACTTCAGTTATGCCTTTGCCAAGACCTGAAAAGGATGAATATAAACCTTGGCTTGGACGACCAAATAAATCTTCTTTTCTTGCATTGGGCTGAAGAAAGAGAAAGACCCAAAACAATTTAAAACAATTGTCCCTGAAGAATTAGTAAATCATTCTAATTTAAATCTTCCCTCAAAGCTTGAGCACAGAATACAATTTACATGAATAGTCATTGCAACATGATTAACAGTAGGTCTGCTCTCTCATGAGACAGAGCTGACTGGCAGTAGTTTAAGCTGAAAGACACCAGACCCTCAGGCAAGGGGAGAGATTGAAAAGGAGAATCCTTCAATGGTAACCCCAGTTGATTTAGAATTTGCTGAATCCACGCCGTTGGCGTCACTCTGCATCACCAACTAGCCACGCAAGCAACTGAGCTAACTGACCGCCCAGTACCACAGTAAGAAACTTACTAATAAAATGTTGGAGTAGACCATTCAGTGCTCCTGTGTTTACCTGTAAAAGATGAGGTTGGTCTGCTAGGGGAATTGCTTCAGCCAGAGAAACTTCAAAAGGATTTGGTGGAATACAGCCAAGGAAGGTCATGGAATCAGAACGCCGAAAGAATGGATGATTTTGGCCTGCTTCTGTGGACAGTGTTTCATCATCCTTGTCATGAAGGCCAGAACCTAAATGGAAAAAATCTCATTTTTTGATCATAGCACACATGCTGCCATAGCCACTATGAGCAAACCAAATAGTTCAGTAAAGAAATGCAAGAGAAGTGAACTTGCCTAGCAGGATTTTAAAAACTGAAACTATGAATAATGCACACAAACTGTTCATTAAATTGTGCAATTAAAATGACGTAAGTCAATATTGGTTGTGTAATGTTCCAACGACAGTAATTGACATCGGACACTGAAACAGCTGCTGCATTCAATGCTCAGCACTCGTAGAATTAATCAACCTACAGTCTTCTGGTGCACCTATTGTGATCTTACTTTGGACCAAAACATCTGGGAATAAGTCCCAGCTGCTACAGCGTTGTGTCATAACATATCCAAAGACTAACTGATAAATTAATCAATAACTCATCCTTGTCAATTCAAAACACTTATCAAACACAACAAGGTATTTAAACAAAACAGGATTGGTGGTATAGGAGAAATCTCAGTTATAAACATCATAATCAAGCATACTGAGTTGATCCCCAAGTCAGGATCACTGGCATGTCCATTTTCTGATTAGAACATGAAGTGAACGAATAGGACTGCTGGGTACAGCCCTGTAAGTCTAACAGATCTAGCTTCCATAAAGGTGAAGAGAGTAACACTTCCCTTAAACTAAAAAAGACCTAAAGATAGATTGAAGAAAGGTCTATAAAATTGCAATCACGTTGAACAGAAAGCTAGAACAATGTTGAACCAAACATGATGTTCTAAAGAATCTCCAGGATAAATAATCAAACTCAATTTTAAAAGGACCAATTTATGACAACAGACAAGACCCAAAAACATAACTAACAGGTACTACAGGTTCAATAAATGACTGAAAGCTCATTATGCAGACAGGAAAAAGTAAATAGGGAAACAGGCATCAGTGTCAATGAAAGATACAACTGAGTGGAATCTAGAAATAATAGTGACTTTATGCAGCTGCCAGTGTGCACTGTAAACAGTACACTTACAGAACAAATGTGCCCAAGCCTATTTCTACATTCAGGCATGGAACTATACAAATCTAGTGTGTCACAACTGGGTGCCAGACAGTTGCCCAAAATTGGATTTTGATTCTCATGCAAATAACGAGGACAAGGTAGCTATTGGCAACTTTTCCTAGTTTAGATTGACTAATTTGAAGTGGTTCACTTCACTGGCAGCAGCTTTCTTGCAAGCATTGAAAGAGGAAAGTGAAAATGGAAGAAAGGAACACAGTTGGGTTTCAGGGGAAATGAGAAATTGCTGTGAGGAGCATTGCAGAGCTCTAGTTGCCATGTCAATATCCACTTAAAGTCACATAAAAGGTCGTTACTTGCATTTACAAGGACTCTACACTTTTTGATTTAAAAAGAGAGCCACCCTGCACACCTGTAAAACATCCAAATTTGAGTAGAATGGGGTTCAGGTGTTCTTTGAGCACATTCCATGAAGATGATCTTCATGTTACCCCTGAGACTTCTCTAAACCAAGCAAAGGGAAGCTCAATTTCTTTTCCAAGAAATCTACATTTTTTCATTATGCCATCATTTTAAAAAAGTTCAGAAGCAAAGTTGAGTAATTCTTAGTGTAGTAATGTATTGCAGAAGTGGAGTCACAGGTAGATAGGATAGTCAAGGCAGTGTTGTATATGCTTGCCTTTATTGGTCACTGCACTGAGTAAAGGAGTTGGGAGGTCATGTTGTGGCTGGACAGGACAATGGTTAGGCCACTTTTGGAATACTGCGTGCAATTCTGGTCTCCCTGCTGTAGGAAGGATTGTGAGAAATTTGAAAGGGTTCAGGAAAAGATTTACAAAGATGTTGCTAGGATTGGAGGGAGAGGCTGAGTAGACAGACTATTTTCCCTGGAGCGTTGGAGGCTGAGGGGTGACCTTATAGAGGTTTATAAAATCATGAGGGGCATGGATAGGGTAAATAGACAAGGGTGGGGGGGGGAAGAGAGAAAGAGTCCAAAACTAGATGGCATAGGTTTAGGGAGAGAAGGGAAAGATTTAACAAGGGATCTAAAGGGGCAACATTTTCCACGCAGAGGGTGGTGCATCTATGGAGTGAGCTGCCAGAGGATGAGGAGGCGGCTGGTACAATTACAACATTTAAAAAGGCATTTGGATGGGTATATGAATAGCAAGTGGTTAGAGGAATATGGGCCAAATGCTGGCAAATGGGAGTACATTTATTTAAGATGTCTGGTCAGCATAGATAAGTCGGACCGAAGGGTCTGTTTCTGTACTGTATGTCTCTATGACTAAGTCAATTACCAAAAATCCATTCAAATGTAAATAGGAGTTTAAAATCATAGTAAAAGACATAATTAAATAGTCTGTTCAAGAATGCACAGGTCGTTAAACACAAAAAGACTCACTCTGATTTGTATCATCATCATTTTCATGCTCCGAATCCTCATTGTCAAGACCCAACTCCAATAACTCTCGAGTCCTATGAAGATTGGCACATTACAGATTTAGTTCCAAAATAAAAGTTTTAATCACTTATTTCTTGTAAAATGAACTCAAAGTTAGCATTAACAAGTTAAACACGAGATTCAATTGCTTTTAAAGTATGACAGATGTCCACTTCTTTCAAA